CTTTATTTTCAAACACATGAATCAGAATATATGATTCACATAAGACATTCTTATAAAAATATAAGTTTTTATATCACATACAGAATAAAACTTGGTTAAGAGCATAGGCTTAAATGTAACATAAACCTGTGTTTAAATCCTGTCTTTCCTTACTACCTGAATGATCCTAAGCACAACACATATTTCTTTTGAGCTGTAGGCCCCTAATTTGTAAAATGGGGAATAATACCTTCCTTATAGTGTTGATGTAAGTAATACACATGCCTAATAGAGAACAAATACTCACAATGGTAATTTTTAGATTATGGAATTAGCTATTATTAATCACTGTTCAAGGCTTAGTCATAATAAAAAAAATAATTTATTTTAAAACCTACCCAATATTTGGAACATTATCCTAGCAGTCTATTTCTACTACACATTTCTAAAGACAAATTATTATTAGTGTTTATATTTAACTTAGTATGTGAGAATTCTCAAGAAGCAATTCACACTTGTAAATTTCCAACACATTTTTAATGGCTTAAATGCTTTGAACTTACCATCTAACAGAGACTGAAAATTCAGGTCAACAATCCTCCTATTAGCCTTGTTCAGGAAAGGGAGACCAACTAGGAAGAATCAGAATAAGGACAGTATTTCTTTTCATTATCTGATTGTAAACTATATACAACTCAAGTACTTTAGAGTCCTACTCTTTCTGGGTAGCAGGACATTTTCATAGGCAGTTGAAGGTATATACTTGAATCATATTATTCTCTCTATATGGTAAAGGCTCCCCTGGACTGCTGAACTATACTGATTGGCAGGCCTTTGAAAGAAACTTAAGCCGTAACCGGTTTGGCTCAGTGGAGAGCGTCGGCCTGCGGACTCAAGGGTCCCAGGTTCGATTCCGGTCAAGGGCATGTACCTTGGTTGCGGGCACATCCCCAGTGGGGGGTGTGCAGGAGGCAGCTGATCGATGTTTCTCTCTCATTGATGTTTCTAACTCTCTGTCCCTCTTCCTTTCTCTCTGTAAAAAAATCAATAAAATATATTTAAAAAAAAAAAGAAAGAAACTTAAGGTGTAATATATTTATAATATATTTATCAAGGCCTCCTCCTTTACTCCTTAACTGGTGTGCAAAGATATTATTTTCAGGAACCATATAAAGAGGTTGTGACCTCCCACACCTACTATCTTTGCCCAAATACAGTAAAAATCACTTATGTTTTTAGTATTACAGTAATGAGTTTTAGGTAACCAGAATAGTTGCTTGCTTCGCCAGATTCTAGAATTATCTCCCATCTCTCAAATTCTGATTCTTTTTACTTTGGATACAATCATGAAACAAATAGACACAATCAATCTATACTCTTAGGAAGCTTACAGTTCAGGGGAACACACAGATAACTGCAGTAATAAACACACCAAGAACTACAAACTGTAATAAAAATTATCAAGGAAAACTTCAGGAAGCAATGAGAACATGTAACAGGAGGGCAAGTAGCAGAGGGAATAGGTATAATAGATAAAACTTTCCTGAGAAAGTGATAATTAAGCTGCGCTTACAAGAATTATTAGAAACTTATGTAGTGAAGAGGGGGTGCTATCTAAACATTTGTGTTTCCTCCAAATTTGTATGTTGAAATCCTAATGTCCAATGTGATGGTATAAGGAAGTGGGACCTTTGGGAGGTGCGTAGGTCATGTGGGTAGAGACCTCTTATAAAAGAGATCCTAGAGAGCTAGGTTGGCCTTTTGTCATGTGAGGATACAATCAGAAGCATGCAGCCTGGAATAGGGCCCTCACCTGGCCATGCTGGCTTCCTAATCTCAGATTTCCAGCTTCCAGAACTGTGATAAACATCTGTTGCCTAAAAGCTTCTCAGTTTATGGTATTTTTATTATAGCAGCCCAAATGGACTAAGACAGGGAAAGAGCTCCCAGGAATAAAAAACATCAGTATGTAGGTGCTGAAGTAAAATAGAATATGACTGAGAATAAAAAACCATGATCTTTTAAAGCAGGGGTGGGGAACATCTGGCCCATGGGCCATATAAGGCCTGTGAAATCATTTGGTCTGACCCTGACAGGCATTAGGGGCGAGTTAATTAAATATTTGACCAAATATGAGCAGGCTAATTTTTAAGTTGATAATTGTGTATGGTGAATGATGTTATAAATATCCAAATGGCCCTTGGCAGAAAAAAGTTTCCCCACCCCTGTTTTAAGGAAATAAAAGAAATTCATTGTGCCTGACATAAATATAACAATTTAAGAAGAGGCAGGAAAAGGAGGAAAAAAGAGCTTTACAGGTTATATTAAATATTTTGGTCATTAGTCTAAGAGTAGTAGGTGCATGATCAGATTTCCAACAATCATTATAGCTACAGAAGGAGAATGAATTGGAAAGGAAAAAGAGAAGATCCAGAAAGACCATCTAGGTTAGAGATGACTATGGACAGAAGAGGCAAAAAAAAGTGGATTAATATTAAGTTAAAATCAGTCTTATTAATGATTTAAATATACCTGGTAGGGAGAAAGAGATATAGAGTGATTCCTAAGTTTTAATTTTGGACCTGAATGGAAGTTGATGCTATTCACTGAGAAAAGGAACTTTTCAAGAGAGACATGTTTAGAGGCTGGAAGAATATAAAGATCCTTAATTCCAATTTGGCCATGTTTACCCATGGTTGGCTATGATGAAATTAACTGTTTCAAGAGAAAAGACCTAAAGATACTAACAGACAAATCCAACAAAACAGCTAGTACTCTCTCCAGTCACCATATAGTGATGTCTACCTACCCTGATGAGCCCACCAATATATACGGGACTTCCAATTAACTTTTAGATTAACTGAAGTACAAAAATACAGTCAAGAGTCACCAGCTATTAGAGTAAATTCTCTATCACAAAAGACACAGAAGAAAGGAACTCACAGTAAATAGATTTGAATAGCATATTGATCAATATTTGGATAGGCAAAATTTCTACTGTACAAAGGGCACTTTCATTAGCTGAATTTTTAGAGTATATATAATTTTACTGATTTCAGAGAAGAAGGGAGGTGGATATAGAGAGGGAAACATCGATGAGAGAGGCTGCCTCCTGCCCACCCCCTATTAGGGAGCGAGCCCACAACCCAGGCATGTGCCCTGACTGGGAATCGAACTTTGACCTGGTTCATGGTCCGATGTTCAACCACTGAGCACACCAGCCAGGCTGAATTTTTATTTTACTCTTTACCTAATAAAATAAAAAATTCTATTCTCACTAATTGAGGTGACCACCTCTTCTAAGAGTTTCAGTAGTGCTTTAATGTTAATAGTTATTATATTAAAATAAAGATTTGAGTTTAGCCATAAAGTTTTCTGCAGAATTATCTTACTTTTGCTACTCACCTACTGGCTCTCCAAAAGTGATGGTGAGTTCTACTGTGTCATAAAGAAAGGTGAATACAGCTTGATCATCACTCCACTCAATGACATCCCATTCAGACAAGCTGGAGAGATAAACAAGTCAAAAAAATTTGTTTTTGAGATAAAAGAAGAGAGTTAACTTCAGATACCACCCAAAAAGTACCAGCAGCAGCTGCTAGTTTTTGACTGGATTGGGAGACAACTTATTTATTTATTAAATATGTTTTTATTGCCTGGCCAGCATGGCTTAGTAGCTGAGTGTCAACATATGAACCAGAAGGTCACAGTTCAAATCCCAGTCAGGGCATATGCTCGGGTTGCAGGCTCTATCCCCAGTGTTGGGCATGCAGGAGGCAGCCAATCAATGATTCTCTCTCATCATTGATGTTTCTATCTCTTTTCCTCTCTGAAATCAATATATATATATATTTAAAGTATATGTTTTTATTGTTTTTAGAGAAATTGGAAGGGACAGGGGGAGAGAGAGAAAGAGAAACAAACATCGATTGGCTGCTTCCTGCATTCCTCCTAGTGGAGATCAAGCCCGCAACTCTGGAATGTGCCCTGATTGCAACCCAGGTATGTGCTCTGACTGGGAATTTGGTGCATGAGATGAGGCTCAACCAACTGAGCCATACCAGCCAGGGCAGAAGACAACATTTTAAAAATATATGTTTTAATTGATTTCAGAGAAGGAGAGGTAGAGAGAGATAGAAACATCAATGGTGAGAGAGAATCATTGATTGGCTACCTCCTGCACACCCCCCTACTGGGGACCGAGCACACAACCCAGTCATGTGCCCTGACCAGGAATTGAACCGTGACTTCCTGGTTCATAGGTTGACGCTCAACCCCACTGAGCCACGCCGGCAGGGCAGGAGACAACATTTTAATTCAAATATTGTGAATGTACAAAGATGCTTTTGAAAGAAATAAGCAATATTTTAAAATTTTAATTCCACAGCTCTCTCATATTGTATATGTTCTTTCTTTGTTTTGTTTTTTTAATTTTAACTTTATTGCTGAGGAGATTAAAAATGGCAGTAGAGTAAGTGGATGCTGCACGGACATGCTCCCAGAACCAAATTGAAATTGTAACTAAAATACAGAAAAACTTCCTGAATAAATAATTGAAGACTCGCTGGAGAGAACCCTGATAACCGAGGCTGGAAAGTGAAAACCACATAGAGACTGGTAGGAGGGGTGGAGGCGCAAAAGGGCTGGCCGGGCTCCCACAAACAGCAACTAAAGTTCTGGAGAAATATCTCAGCTGGGGGGTTTGCCATTGAGAATTCTGGAGTCTAATCCCAAAGCAGGGCCGCCCAGCAAAGAGCACCAGAACTGAGAAAGGTACCCACCTATTTTTATTATTGAAAGTATTACAGATGTCACTCTATTTTTTTTCACCTTGTATACTTTCAACTTAGTATTGAGTACATTAACTGTTTTTGAGGCTACATTGGTTAAAAACAGTGATACATACTACAAACACATGTCAAATGCTCTAGTAGGTTTAGACAACCACAAAGGCACAGGATAAAATGCAAACTAATGACACTAGTTTTTCCTTACCTCAACTGATCCAGCAGCTCTTCAGTTGTATTTGTTTGTTTTTGCATGAAGTCTATTTGAGCAAGGGTCTGCTCTTTCTGTACCTCTAGTTCTGAGAGATTTCTGTAAAAAAAGTATTCACAGAAAGGTAAGTCCATTGTTAGAGAATTCATACGCTATTAAAATAAAAGGTTTATGACAAGAAGTTACATGCTAGATGGCTCCCCAAAGAGGTGAATGGCATCCATTTGCATTCTCAAATGGGTTTTTAGAAAGAGCATTAATCTAGAAACATAGGTCTATTTAGAAAAGGCCTAAATCAATGGCTCTCAAATTAGAATCCATAAAAATACCCTTAGGGTTTCTCATGTTCTTTGAGATTATTAAAATTTACATTTTCATTTTTATAATAAAATATAAGCATAATGCAGATTATGAGATTGCCTACCTTAAAACTGAGACATACCATAATTTCGGTGCCTTCATTTGGTTTAATTTAGTTTATTAGATCTAAATAGAACTGATGCTTTATTAGTCATTTTGCTAGAATCAATTTAATTTCAACCAAACAATATCACCTGTCAAATTAATGTTATCAACTGTAATTTTACTGGTTTTGTCATTATTTATATTTGATCTTAGTCTTTTAGTTAAATAAAATTCATGAGTATAAGAAATATACACCTCTTTTTATACTTACTTAAGTATACTATAAAAATAGTTTAATGCTAGGTTTATTTCCTTTAAAAGGATCCTGAGCCCTGGCCAGTGTCGCTCAGTTGGTAGGAGTGTCATCCCGTACACCAAAAGGTCTTGGGTTCAATTGCCAGTCAGGGCACATACCTGGATTTCGGTTTCAATCCCTGGCCCCAGTCGGGGCTCATGTGGGAGGCAAGCAATCAATGTTTTTCTCTCATATCAATGTCTCTCCCCCACCTCCCACCTTCCTGTCTCTCTAAAAATCAATGAAAAAATATCTCGGATGAGGATTAAAAAAAAAAAAAAAAGATCCTGTTATTATTCAAACTTGCGAAATACTGCCTTGAAGTAATGCCCTGTCAACAATAGTGCTTAGAAAATACTGTCAACCCCGGGGTGAAGGTCAAAGCCCTGAGTCAGCCTTAGTCAATAATCATGTTCCCAATCTTATCAGTTTCTGGGGGTAGAAAGTCATTTACCCTAATGAAGTTTTGCATATTTTTTAACACTCAAAATGAAGGCTGACCTTTGAAGCTTTTCTTCTTCAGTTTTCAGCTGTTCCAGTTCTTTGAAAAGAAAAAGAAAAACAAATCAGAGTAGACACACTAAAATGTTGCTACAAAAATCATCCACTTATTGAAAATTCTAGCTCAATTAATGTCACCTAAATAATCACAGAACAAAAGGGTGTGTTACCCCATTTATCTTTTTGATTAATTCAGTTACCTTTCTCTGCAGCTCTCATTTCAGAATCCCATTCTTCCACAGGACTGTCTTTCTCTTCATTCTCTAAATTCTTACTTTCTAAAGTAGACAATGTGCATTAGAATAACCCAGTCAAAAATAATTTAAAAACTGGACATGAAAAGAAAAATGCTCCTAAAATGATTTAAGAATATCTGACAAACACTCATCATTCCCCCACCTTTCCTTGCCAATAAAGCACTGAGACATAATTTCATACAAAAACTTGCTTCTAGTAGCAGACAACTGAACTTTGAGCCAGATAGCAATGATCTCCAGTAGCAGCTTTTCAAGGACCATTCTGAATTGGAAATTGTTTATATAAATTTGCATAATCAAAATTATTGTTAGGCAACCCTAACAATAACCCTGTGGACTAAGCAAGAAAAGATACTGCATGCACACACATTTAAATTTTTTTATTTAATTTGTTTCTCAAACCTTGGAGTCATCCAGTAATAGTGTCAACAATGAAGAAAAAAAAACACAAACACACCTTAGAGTCATCCTTAAAATTCCGTTCTCTCCTCCCAATCCAAACCAAGTCTAGATTCTTACCTCAAAAAATTATTTTGTTGAATCTTTTTTTCCTCCACCATCACCAGCTTTCCTTAATATAAGCTACCATACTTTATTTTTTAAAAATTTGATTTGAGAGAGAGAAAAATATCGATTTGTTGTGCCACTTGTTTATGCATTCATTGATTGATTCTTGTATGTGCCCTGATTGGGGATCAAACCTGAAACCTCGGTGTATCGAGATGATGCTCTTAACCAACTGAGCTACCCTGCCAGGGTACTGTCCTTTCTTAACTATACCAGTCTTACTAGTACATTTACTCTTGATTTATTCAAATCCCATCTCTACACTTCAGCCAGTGCTTAACACCCTTCAAATGCCTATTCACTATTCTTTAAAAAAGTCAAAATTCCTTAAAAGGACCTCTTTGGCCTGGCCCTTAGTGACATCTCCAGCTTTACTTCAGACAATGTTCCCGTTTGCTCATAGGTCATTGCTCAGCCATTGAGCTACACCAGCCAGAGCAAAAGGCTCATTTTTAAATGGAGATAAGTTCATCTATTAAAAACAGATTACAGCCCTAGCCAGTTTGGCTCAGTGGATAGAGCATCAGCCTGTGGACTGAAAGGTCCCAGGTTCGATTCCGGTCAAGGGCACATCCCTGGTTGTGGGCTAGATCCCCAGTAGGGGCGTGCAGGAGGCAGCCAATCAATGATTCTCTCTCATCATTTATGTTTCTATCTCTCTCTCCCTTTCCTTCCTCTCTGAAATCAATAAAATATATATATTTTTAAAATTGGCATCTTAAAAAAAAAAAGAAAGAAAAACAAAACCAATGACCAATTGGATACCCACATCCAAAAAAAAACACAAAAAAAACAAAAAGAAACCACACACAAAAAAACAGATTATGGTCTAGGTCAGTGGTTCTCAACCTGTGGGTCGTGACCCCTTTGGGGGTCAAATGACCCTTTCACAGGGGTCGCCTAAGACCATCAGAATACACATATATAATTACATATTGTTTTTGTGATTAATTACTATGCTTTAATTATGTTCAGTTTGTAACAATGAAAATACATCCTGCATATCAGATATTTACATGATGATTCATAACAGTAGCAAAATTACAGTTATGAAGTAGCAACGAAAATAATGTTATGGTTGGGGGTCACCACAACATGAGGAACTGTATTAAAGGGTCGCGGCATTAGGAAGGTTGAGAACCACTGGTCTAGGTTATGAAGAGCTTTCCAATTTTGGGCATCTCTTGTTGATAGTGTTATGAAGGAGTAGAGTAAAGGAGCTTTAATTTGATCTAATTTAATATCTCAAGCTACTGATACAAGGCTTCAGCATAGTGATACCAGCAATCTGTACGAAAGGAAGCATTTAGATAAAATTAAATTTTCTTTTGAAAAAATTTCCAAATACTTTACCTATTTTCACCTGAGTGAGACAGTTAGCAATCTTCTTAAGTATGTTGTCCATCTCATCTATTTTTAACTGAAGTTTCTCCCTCTCATTCTAAACACACAATATTATAGACTGTCAAGTTAAAGTTCCAAACAAAACATTATAACATTATCATGTTTCAAACAGCTGATATAACTGCTATGTCTAAATTATAAACAGGCAGATCTTAAAATGAAGGTCAAAGTTGCCAGTCTAGACTTAAATTTTACTTAAAAAAAAAAAAAAGAGTTCATTAAATAATGTTCTATGGTCAAATGAATATGGGAAACACTGGCCCAATAGAATTATGGTATATTTTTTTCTTTTTAGACTTTTAAAGAAAGACATTAATATGGTATCTATTATAATTTCTCTAAAGGGTAATATTACATGTTACATTTCCCAAATTTGTTAATAGAAAGTTTTTAAATAGGGAACCTTTCTTAAGGAACAATCATTTTGGGACATGCTTCTTTAAACACATACACAAACGTACACAGCTAGGTATGAACTATATGGAAAATAATACTATAGTATAGTCCTTAGCAATGAAAGATCAGAATCCTATATTGTTTTATTTCAATATGTATAATGGATAACAAATTTGAGATAAGAAATAGGCCCATATTAGTAAAATTACCATAAAGTACTTTTAATACATTAAGCGCCCTGACACTATACTTTCCGTCCAGAAGACAAAACAGATTGGGCACTTAACGTGTTAATAGATCTTTCTTTCTATGTTATTAACTGTGTCAAATTACCTGAGCTGACTGTACCAGTTTGCTATAGAGAGTCACTTTCCCTTGGTGAGTGAAGATTTTAGTCATCTTGGTAAAATGTGATTTTATTTTGTTCAGGTAAATTCCAAAGGCCTTCAGCTGTAAGGAAAAGTCAAAGGCTACAATGTACTAAAACAAATAAGTTGAAAAAGCAAATGATCTGAGAAGGCTGGTTCAGATGATACACACTAAGCTTTGCCCATTCTAGACTCTGATTCCTAAGACAGGGCATTTCTCATTTGCAAATTTAATTCCATTTAATAGTTTACAAGCACAACCAAAAATTTTAATTTTGATTCCTGCTTTTAATTCACTTTATTTATATTACAAATTTAAAAATGACAGGCTCTAATAAAACTCTTTTAATATATTAGGGCACATATGAAATGAGTAACTTATTATTTGATAAATTAAATCTTTCCTCATGTAAATCTAAGTGAAAGGCAAACAAGGAGAGAACTCTAAATAAACTTCAATTATATTTCATATATTAAATTGATAATTTCAGGTTTGAAAAACTTATGTATTAACAATTACTCATGTATACTTAAATAAATCCTTGGTAACATATACCTGAGAAGTAAGTTGAACTCATCACTAATTACCAAGTAAATAATTGTCTATTTCATAATAAGAATTGTTCAAAATGTCTATACTGATTCCCATTCAGAAAATGACACAAACATACCTCCTCATCAGAGCAATGTCTCATTTTCCCCCATAGGTTCCTGTTTACATCAGTCAACAGTTTATCTTGGTTCAATACAGAAAGCTTTAATCTAAAATACAGAAAAGTTAATTAGCATAGAGTTCAGAAGTCGGCTTCAATGAATCAACTCAGATTTACAGGCATAGTAGATCTTCTTAGTTCTTTTTCTACATTAAAAGAGGGGAATTCACTAAAGAATAGTGACCAGTCTTATTA